CCCCCCCCCCCCCCCCCCCCAAAAGAAAAATGCTTAAAGTGAAAGTCACAAACTGCTGTAGACTCTAAAAATAATTTCCAACACAAAAAGGATCAGACTGAAGACAAAACCTAATAACGGTTGATAAAGGAGGCTTGCAGTGGCTTTACAAGGTTGTTTTGACACAAAATTATAACACATACATAAAATAAATATCAATAAAGCAGAAACATGCTACAGCTGACCACTCAATATCACATGAAATGGTATTGGTAGGTAGTGAAATCAACATGATTTTACAGTTAATAACCAATACCAATGTTTTACAAAGTAATATAACTTTTCAGACAGAGAATTGAATATAAGACCATTTGCAATCGGATATTTCAATTCGCAAGAAAATAGCTTCTGATTTTACGTCAAAGTAATCTTATATATGCCTGTTTAGCTAGGATAAGATGTAATAATAAATCCAGTCAGTCTACCCAATATTAAAGGCCATTACACATTAGCTTACCTTGTTGTGAGCAGCCGAACCACCATACTGATGTGCAAGGGTATCACCCATTCTCTCGTAAAAAGCCATCAATTCATCAGCCAAAGGATCATCAAGGTCTATCTTGACGGAGGTCGTTACTCCAAGCGCATGCAACTGATGTCCCAAAGCAGCCAAGCCATATGCATATTGTGCCACATTAGTGCGATCCAAACAGTCTATGCAGTTTGTCCTGAGCACTCCCTTTTGGAACATTGGAGGTTTGACAGCAGAATTGCCATTAGAAACCGTATTGCCTCTTCTAGGTTTTCTATCTGCGTTATCAGAATCCTCATTCTCATCATAGAGATGTTTCTCGCATTTGCTATTGCGATATCTTGTGTTGGACATATCAGGAGCAGCAACATTACCGTGCATAAAACAATTGTGAACTTCCTTTATATCATTATGAATTTACACAGTAACATAATGGGAAAAAAGGATACACTGGCAATTTATTGACCAATTACTAACGACCATAATGCCATGTCACAATAGGTGTATCCATACACTTCAGTAAGTCCTCTACGAATCAAATAATCAAGAATAATCCATACAAAAAGAATTTTCTTTCTCCTTTGGAAAAGATCAAAAGTTGACTTCTCGTGGTAAGGGGTAATTAGGAGTTAAGTGACTATAACTTTCGGGTATTTCGAAAAACAAATATGAAACAATCAGAAAAAGAGTGAGAACATTCATCATGATATAGAGAAGCCATGGTTTTACTTGCAAGTCGATTTGTATACAAACCCCAGAGGTAGGAACAACCAATGATATCCATCGGTTGTCCTAACTCTAGATTAGACATGATGTTGAAGTGCTAAAAATACTCCAATAAAGATCCTAGCACCATGTTTGTTATAAGTTTTCTTTAGGTCCTAAAATGGTCTTAAGACTAATATCCCACCTAAAAACTTAAGCCCACTAGAGATGAAGGAATTTATTTTGTTCATATTTTATATCTGCTCCTTATGGGAACGATGGATTCATTTTTTGCTTTAGACTTGAACATGAAATTTTCACACTTGGGGTGGCACTAAGAATTGAACTTTGGATCCTTGTCAGTTCTAGCACCATATTGAACCACCTCATCTAAAAACTTAAGTTGTTAGAAAAGGGAAAGGTATTTATTTATATTTTATATCTTAAACAATATACTAACATAATGAGGGATGAATACCCAATAAAGTAAGAACATAAACGTGCTTATAATAAGATGAAAATGCTAAGCACAATAATTTTAATGCACTTTAAAAAAAAAGAAGGAATTTGGTGAACAAACTCACTCAAAAGAAGGCCATCCCATACATCCCTCTGATTGCAAGGCAGGTGTTACTTGACAATAGAAGAAACCTGTAAGAGTTAACGCATATGCAGCCACCTTTCCCAAGAGAAGAAGAACGTTTGTAGCTTTACTGAGGTAAACAGTTAAATTAAATACTAGTCAGGCCTTCAACAAAAGCAGCATGTCTTAAAAGGATAAAACATTAGATACCTCCGAGAATGTTTGTGCAGATCCCAGTGGAGGAATTTAAGACGATTCTCCTCTGAGAGATCTTTATTAATAGCTTCAATCGCATTAGCAAACTCTGTACGAAGAATGGATTCTCGAGGCTTCTTTTCATTTGTCTGTTGATAATAAAATTTAGTGCCTATATATTATACACTTCAACAAATTCAACAATAACAGATATGGAGTTGACGAATTCACCATAAACCCTTGAGTACAAAAGTAACGATAAAATCCCTCTCACCTTAATCAAATTTAAAATGATAATGGGGTTCCCATATCGCTTGACAAGATTTTCAAAATGAAGTCTGGTAGCCTCATAATTCTGGTCCCTCTTTGACACTGGACAATAAACATCAGTTACGAAGTAAAGAAATGAAAATTAGATTAGTGTTCTTTACCCACAAATTAAGAAAGGAATCAGAATTGCTATAACGTACATATAATATCAGGCTTAAGATTTAGACGTGAAGTTTCCTGCGACCAGAATAGTGGGATCGACCCACGATTTTGGACAACAGAACTAATCTGCATAGGGAACCCTTCTGGAACATCCTCAAACACAATCTGCTCAGTCTCAACATCATTTGCAACTCTGCCTTTCTCATTGATCCCTCGTTTTAGATATCTACAATGTAGGAAAAAATCTCAAGTGTCATATGTGCAACAGAGAGAAAGGGGTGAAGAAAGATCAGCAAAAAGCATCCAATGATGGGACAAAAACAACACATGAGGTTCATGTCGCAACATAAAAGTGAAGAAAATAACACTGATAATCCGTACTTACAGCAGCAATTCTCCAAAGTACTATGCTTTAATGTATCTCTACACTTCTAACACATGAATTAGTGCATGTATGTCTATATATTTTCAGGCTATACATATGAAGAGTTTACAAAACTATACCAAGTTAGGAATTCCATTTTTATTTATTTATTTATTTTGAAGCAAAGTAGGCAGAGGTTCAGTTGAAGAACAATGAACAATATGCAGCTGTCCGCCTATCCCTCCTACTTGAGCAAGCCTGGCACCTAATTTCTAATTTTTTTTTTTATTTTAAGAAAAACACCAACACAGCTTTAGTGCATTTTCAGGTACCACCAACTAGGGAAGGCTAACGAGGGTTTGGATTCTCCAACCATATATATAAAATCAAACTCATAAAATGACAAGGGGATACGGGACAAAAGCCTGACCTCCCGAAGACGAAGAAATGCAACAAATGAAGGAAAGTAATAAGTACTTCCAATACAAAAATAGTAAGTGAGAAACAGGCTTTCGTCCTCCTGATGATAGCGTTGATTCCAACCCTTAGATGCAAGCGAATAGGCAACCTAGTTCCCCTCACGGTAAGTGTGAAAAATAGTATCACGATCAAATGAGAGAAGAAGTTTGATTTTTTTGAGAATGATCTCAATCAGTCATGGTCCTTTACCCCTAGTGATGCAGTGATAGGTTACATATCAGTCAGTCCCCACCCAAATATCTAATAATCCGAGTTGTCGAGCAAGCAAAATCCCATCCGAGATAGCCCGTAACTCACCTCCAAGATAAGATCATCTCCTTATGAAGACGAGAAGACCCCAATGCAATGTCCATCTTGGTCACAAATAATGCCCCCACCACTAGCAAATTCATCATTGAAGCATCTTTCAATGTTGATCTTGTGAGATCCCATCATTAGAGTACGCCAAAAAACTAATATAGGGTGTATTGGGGGAGGAAGAATCAAAGAAACACCAAAAGATGAGGCAATAGTCTGAGTCTCCACGGCAATGAATAAGCCAAAATAAGCAACCCATGTGCAGAAGTGAAATCATGCGATAGATTTTCCAAATGATCCGTCTAGGCTCCATGTGTATCTCACTATGCTTCGCATCATTCTTCGCAAGCCATAAGAATCAAAATATATACAAGAGGCAATCAAAGGTGGATGTCAAGACCAGCAAATCACCATCTTTACATATGATATACACTGATGCAGGACAAATAATTGTCTATTGTAAGTGTTTTATATATTTTAACTCCTTTTTTAATTTTCTAATTTAAGTTATCTGGGTTTTTTTTCTTTAGAAAGATTTCCCTGGTAAGGGATTTAAGTCCTATGACTGCAGTAGTCAAGTTTTTGGTGAATTTTCTTCCATGAAAAATCTTCTTGCATGCTCAATTTAACCATCCAAATCTTCTTTATATAATAGAATAGAGTTTTCCTTCTAGATTCAAAGTTTCCGATTGGATTCTAGGGTGTGAATTGAAGACAAGAATCCCCCTTCCCTCTTTTCATACTTCCGCTCCATCACCTAACTAGCTAGTGCATGCTTCCTTCTTAAGGGTCCCAAAAATATAACACACTTAATTACCTTAATTAATATGCACCTAACTAGCTAGGAACAAATCCCTATTCAATCTTCATCACCTTAATTAATATGCACCCACTTGCCAAGAAGCCCATGTCACAAGCAGTTTTTTAATCCTAACTCCTCGATTTCAAGATTACAAAGGGCAAGAGCTCAATTAACACAGTAATGGTGATTAATCTGAATTTTTTTTCCCTTTTTAAAGTTGAAATCCTATGGATAAGAAGTGCCTGTAGCATTGTATTTTCAAATTAGAGAGAATTTGGGTTTAGCTTTACCGCTTCAATTTTTGTCAAGGTTAGTTAGAAATCTAACAATGCATCTTAATCGCATTTAAAACACCAAATATTAATTGAATTCCTAACATCTCATGTCCCCATAAAACTTGTGGAAATTAAACCAGGTGTTGCTAAAAGTCCTAAGACGGATCCTCAAACATGCGTCCCTGATGTTAGCATATCCAAAAAATTCATGCTTTTCATTTATTAAGCCTAAGCAAACCTTAGAATTTCCAAATCAAAGGAGTGATCCAAAGGAACATTTAGACCATCTCCTCTTATTATGTTAAGAAACAACTCACTTACTGAGTTCCATGGAATCTTGTGGTGGTGGTGGTGGGGAGCGGAAGGAGGAGGAGGACGAAGAAGGAGGAGGAGCACGAAGGAGGACGAAGGTGTAGGAGGAGGAGAATCTGCCTGGGAAACCTCCATTTCCAACCTCTCATTTTGGAAGATTAAGACATGGCTTGTAATAGCGTTGGTCTCCATTTTGGAATACACGTCACAGTAAGATATTTTTTTAATCTAATGTTAAGGTCCAGTATTTATTATGGATGTTTGAAGTCAAACGATGACCATTTTAGATCTAGTAGCTGCTTTTGAGTGGATCTGGATTCAGAGGTCCACAGCAATAGGTTGCAGTAAGTTGGGATTGTTATCTAACAGGTGAGGGTTTCAGGTTTTATATACAAGGTAATGATAAAGCTGGTGTTCACATTATGAGGTTTTATTGCGATGATGCAGATATGGTTTCATGGGTTGGTGGTGGACAAATTGCTACTGATGGAAGTGGTTTAATAGTTTGTCCAGGAACAACGTATAGTGGGTAGGGAAAGTGAGAAACGTGAAAATGTTGTTCTATTTTTGACAGGAGCAGAGAGAGGGTTTCAGGTTTTATGTACAAGGTAATGATACAGCTAGTGTTCGCATTACAAGGTTTTATTGTGATGATGGCAGCTATGGTTTCATGGGTTGGTGGTGGACAAATTACTACTGGCGGCGGTGGTTTAATGGTTTGTCCAGGAACAACTTATAGTGGTAGGGAAAGTGAAAAATGTGAAAATGTTCTATTTTTGACAGGGGAGCAGAGTGACTTTGATTTAGAATAGTTCAGAGGAAGGAAAAAAAAACTGTCTATTGTAGGCAGGAAGACAATTCCTTGAAACACCCCAAGTAAGGAAAGGGTCCAATTCAATTTGATACCCAGGAAATAAAAACATTAAAGAACAGTAACTCTATAATTAGACGCAAATATATACTTGAATAAATGAGTTTCTTAGATAGTTATATATATATATGCATGGATGAATTCCCTTTCTAAGCCTGTTACATATATAAGTTCCCATCTGGATCTCATTGAGAGATGAAAGTAGCATATGGCGGCAAGGTTTTTTGCCAGTAACACCATCAAAGTAAGTCTAGGCAGGGTTTGTAGACCACCACCTAAACCCAATTAGAGGGGTTTGGATTCCCCAACACTGTTTTATAGATAAGAGTCAATGTATAATGTTAAAGTACTTCGGAAAAAGAATGAACTTCAATTTGAGATATTAACAGATAACATAATCCAGATGTTCATCTTCTATCAAAAATAAATAAATCCAGATGTTCATCAAATTACGGTTTGCTTACTGACCTGGTACCAGCATAGTGCCGTGAACGCCTGGCAATTAAAGTCAGCTTGAAATCATGTCCTGATATAGAAAGTGTAGCCTAGATTCCCAAGCATAAAGAAATCAACAAGCCATCAAATTTTTAATGCTGGCTACAAGATACAATACAAGTGCATAGCCAGCAATATAAAAATACTAATACTTAGAATAATCAAAGTCAAAAACTAGTATCAATAAATCACACCAGATAACTTGGGCAAAGAAATTTTTTGAAGAAACAAGAAGTCATTTAAGCAACTAAGGAACCTTACCTGCTTAAAAAATCCATAGACTAATGCAACGGTCCAAATAGTATTCTGAAGAATATTGTGTATTCCACGAGTAAGAAACTCATTCCACACAAACATGGTTTCATATAGGACTTGCCCGGTTTCATTATCACACATGTTCTTCTGGAGACTCCTCATAATGCGGTAGGAGTAACTAAAATAGAAGTCTTTTGTCAGATCCACCATGCACAAGAGCTTCCTGTATCTATACAACAATTAAAATCGCATAGTAGTCATTAGCAAAGAAAATATGCTGCGAAGAAAATTAACATTTTAAGGTATAACACAACCATATTCATTTTTAGCTCTGGTATAAATTGCTCATTATAGAAAATCAAAATTTAAGGAAGATGGGATGTAGAGGAAAATAAATGGTCAGACTGAGAATCTCAGCTGAACTTTGCTGAGTCTAGCATTTTATTCTTCTCTATAACTTTATGGAACCCTATGTGGAAGAACAGGGTATGAAAGACGATATTTGAGAACATAAAGCAACTTCATTCTGAAAGAGATTGAATTAAGAGAAAGGGAACAACCTGTTCTCATTCTTGCAATTAACCATGCTGGATGTAACTACAGAATTCTGAAGGGGGATTATCTCACTTTTAGAGATAGCATAGACATTGTGACCGCAGATTGAACCGATCTTCCTTCTTTTCGTAATAAGTAGTATGTAATAAGGCCCCAGAAATTTAATGAATCCTGGAAAATAGAGTAACGAGAACAGAAGCAAGATTAGCAGCCCACCTTATGTCGGTATAGAAGTGATCCTCAATTTCTACGTACCAACGATGCCATAACAAGAAGTAACAAACTTAAGTCCTCCTGTAACCCTGTTTCCTTCATGTATCCTTCTCAATAGGTCAGAGCATTCCCTTTCTGTGTATGTGGTAGAATCTTCGCGAATGTTAAGATCAGTGGGTTCTGTCCTATCAATTTTTAACACTTTCATGTACGTTCTACTTTTGTCCCTTCCTACCATATAGAATTTCTGCAATCAACAAATTGTGAAAACTGTTAAATAACACAGAGAACGTTGTTGATGTAAGATACGTCTATATGCATGCACAGACTAAAATTTTACGTAGTGTATAAGAAGATACGATCCAATTGTTTCTACGTAAACCCCAATTCTTTTGCAGTGAAAGGTGACAATCACAGACATAAAAGCCAATGAGAACACGAGAGCTTCGACTATAGGGACTTCTAGCAGCAAACTTGTATAAAGGACCTCAGAGATATGCAGGAGATGCCGGCCGAATCAACCAATAAATCAAAAGAATGAGTGATCACTGGGCTTACCTAACACATTTCCCTGAAGTAGGGGATTGATTGATTGATTCATTTGATTGTAAAGCTCAGGTAAGAATAGGACATTCCATCGCAACGAGTGAACGCATCACATTTTCCAAAGTGCATAAGGACATCATTAATGCTGAAACTCCTAAAGTAACATTCAAAGAATTCCAAGCATGTGGAAGATATGACATAATTTTTCACTTATTAAACTAAGCTCCAGCAGACGGCAGTTGAGTAAGACATAATAGAATTTCATATTTTGCTCAATTCAGAAGCACTTTTCTATTTCATTGATGAGTGAATTTATACACAAATGTAAGGAATAAAAAATAGTTATGACTGGAGAGAAAATATAACAATTTCTTCTACTGTTACTACTCAGCATTCAGCACCACTGTAAGGTTCAGGTGCTATATTTGTTGCTGATGTGTCCATTTCTTCTGTTGATGAGGTGGCAGAGTGCTTTGTATTGATAAGACAAACGTTTGAAAGCCAACACTCACACGTTTAACCTCATATATCTTCTAATAAATTGTCAAAATCTAGCCATCACGCAGTTGATCATAATTTATTTCATGGGTTATACATACATATCGAAACCCAAATAATCCAGAATTAACTTAGAAGGGCAACATTTACAAAATGCTGCCAATTAATAAAGAAAGTGATAGCAAGAATTTAAGCATAATCAATAGCATTAAATTTCAGCACAAATTAATCTATACAGCCTTAAAACAGGAGATTTTGTATTCCAAATTAGTACAAGAATCCAAACAAAGCGTGCTGACACATTTGAACTTTAAGAAACAAGAAATGGCAAAAAAGTTAATACCGATTGTGTTGCATAGAGTCGGAATTTTTGCATAAATCCATCCGGTGGCGGCGAAATAGGATTAGGAGGAGAAACAGGTTGTAGTTGTACATTTTCCAAAGCATCCGCCATAGTTGTTTGCCTTTCCCGAGCCTTGGCTCGGGATTCAATCACTCCAGCATCTAATTTGAATACAATTTTTTTTCACATTTGTTCCCATTTCCTAAACCCCATCATCACCACACATCGTCTTTGAATTTAGCATTCTCTCAAAAAATTAAATATTAAAAATCAAAAACCCTCAAGATTTTATTTTTCTCCCAAATCTCAATTGAAATATCTATATTACTAAATTAAGAAGCTTCTTTTCTATCAAAAGAATATCAAAACAAAGATTACACTCAATAATTTTGACAAAAAAATGGTATGACTAAAAAAGTTCTAAATACGAATGGGAATGGAAAGACGTGGAAAATGGAAATGGCAAGAGATTTTGAGGTACTGATTTTAAAAATAAAAATTATTTGACATAAACGATGATGCTGATAATGATGAATTATGATGCTGCGATGGAATGATGCACAGAGAGAGAAAATTATACATAGATTTTAATTGATTTTATTTATTTTTAGAGAGAGAAACAGAGACACGTCTGTTTCTGTCAAGGCGAAATGAAAACCACAGCTTATGTGGTTGACGAAATGAATATAAAGTAATAATGTTTTAAGAATTTTTCTTGCTGCTTTATTTTCTAAAATTGTGTTGGTGGCTCGTTCGGTAGATCGTAAACTTGCTTCTCTTTAAAAAGCTCATTAGATGGCGGTTTTATGGTGCGAGCGTTAGCTTCTCTCCAAAAATTTACTAACACGAGCAATTGAGGAGTAAGTCACGATAATAAATTTATTCAAATATGAAATTCAATCTTGAAAATATAATATGTAGGTATGTTTTACTATTCAAAAATTCGCTGCATTTTTCATTCAAGAAATCACTGCAGGTGTAAGTGCTATCATTATTAGATAAACGTATTTTGTATACAATAAAATATAACATTATGTGATTCAAAATAATACTTTGTCGCATTTATCGGTGTGCAATCATCAATTATTTGTAAATATCTATAGCAAAATAATAGAATATTTTAAGCTTACATTTAGTATTTTGAATTGAAAAAATTAAAAGAGGAAATGCATCCTAAAGTTTACAACTATTTTAATGAAGGAGAAAGGGAAGTAGGTATTACATGAGAGGGAAAGGTTGCAAAGTAAAGAAGAGAAAGACTAGTAAGTAAGACGAACATTTGTTTGATTCGGATTAAAATCTGATTTTAATCCAAGTCAAAGTCAAACAATCAATATTAATTACATCTTTCATGAGTCCCACAATTTTTCTACCACATATTTCAAAAACTTCTATCGTAATCTACTAAAAATCTAATTTTAATCCCCCACCAAACACCCTCTAAGTATTCAAGCAAAATCATAAAGAATATGTAAGAAGATGATGCCTACTCTGAACTAGAATGTCAAAAAAAGTTAGTGACCTAATGATAAGTAAGCCATAAGGCAATCGAGATAAAAAGTCATTTACTCAAATCTACGTATCATATATTTAGTGCTATTAACAAGTGCATGTTTGGCAAAATTAAAGTTTGTCAAATGTACTTTTTATTTAAATCAAATATTAACGAGCCATTAAATTTATATTATTGGCAAAATTAGTGGTGGTCAATGGCCGGCAATTTACAGTAATTTTGATTTGTATTAGGTAAGAAGCTCATGGGATTAGATTTGATTTTGGGGTGGTCACGCCTCAACATAAACGGAAAATCAATTTAATATTAGAATACAATGGGCAATCATTGAGATTTCTTTGTTTGACCAATCCAATTGGGACAAATCGTGAACTTGAGTCCACGTCTACAACCCCACCCCACCCCACCCCACCCCTTGTATTATTATTGTATAGATGTATGTAATGTACGTATTTGTAGCATTCACTATACGTTAGCAATTATATATTTTTTTATTGGAAGATTGCAAGCTCAGTGAGAAAGTAAATATCAATGAAAATCGAATCACGCATCGACTTGAAAAATGTCAAAAGTCAAAAGGTTAACAACATTTTTTATTTTTTATTTTTTATTTATTTACTGTAGAAAAAATCTAATCCCTCCCAAACAGGGCCTAAGAATTAAAAATCAATATATTGAAATAATCTGTTTTGTTAAAATTGAAATTGTTCGATCTTATAGAAAATGATGTATAACATTGTTATGTTAATAATGTAGTAAATTTTAAGTTAAATTTAAAAATTAAATAAATGAAAAATTGATTTCAAAAATTTTATTTAGTGTTGTTGGACTCAAAATCAAATTAAAATTGAAAGTTAACATGGAAATATTTGGAAAATATGTTATATGGAAATCTCACATCCAAAGTTTTTGAAATATTTTGAAGGGGATACATTGATAAAGTAGCTGGCAATCCATGGTCTCCATTTCAATGCATAAGCCCAATTGTAAAGTTAAAAATTTTAAATTAAAAACATTGAAAAAAAATGGGAAAACCGTAACCGGTTCATGGGTTGACCGTTGACGGTTTAACGGACCGATTTAGAAATTTTTTAACGAATTTGTCATGTTTGGTTATTAAACATATAATTGGCTTGGTTTTGGGCTCGGTTCTTGGTCAAACCGGTCAAGTCGGGGTCGGCTGGTTTTAATAACATTGGTAAACAGTATAAAAATGAATAGTTTGATAGTTAATCATTGTATATTACGACACATTGGTTACGTGATTTTTTAATTATATTAAATGTTCTTAAATTTTACAAATTTGATCCCTTGACCATTAATGTCCCTGTCCCTATAGGTTTGATCCCTCAAAAATATCCAACATATGGTAATCAAGTAAAGCTAAATTTATAGCCAAAAAAATGAGAACTAGATAACTCGATATTGATGGAAAAATCAAATTATCGAATTGAGTAGCCTGAAACATATGATTGCGAGACAAAACTGTAACTAGTAAAACAATTCTAAAGACATGAAGATAGCTAAAGATATAAAATTCATCCTACAATATGGGGTAAAAAACCCAAAATAAGTGATTTTAACCCTTATAAAAAGAAAACGGAAAGTGAGTGCAGAGTTCTGTGAAAGATGAACATAAACTAATCTGACTTTTTAAACCAAATGGGATTTATTTGGAAGAGAACCTCATTCAATCAACCAAGTACGTCGAGCCTATCACGGTGGTACTAGAAATCCATGTGGCATTGTCCAGCACCACCTAAGGTTCATCAAGACATCAGTGGAGTGCTTTGTAGGAGTGGGGAATGGTGGTGCAGAGCGGTGGGTTGAGATCTGGATAGGGCGAATTAGGTGAAAATCGTTTATCAGTTAGGTGTTTCAAGTTAAATATGGATGTTGCAGTACAGTCAGCAAAGGGATTTATAAATTTTGGGGTTGTCATGTAGGATAAAGCAGGTATGGTAGTGATGACCTAGTCCAAAAAAACATTTGGTGTGTGTTTGGTAGGGATTTTTTGGGGGAAAAATTGATTTTGAATAGTGATATGATGGGAAATGTGTGGTTGAAAAAGAAAATAAGATTATTGATGTGATAGAAAATATTATTTTATTGAAGAATATGTGGTTGAAAATGAGAATTGATTTACTGTTGAAAATGAGAATTGGTACCAAACATAGCCTGGCAGCTTTCATAGTGTCTGTAGACTGTACAGGACGATTTGCTTTTTGAAGTGTAATTCTTTTCGGATGGTACATGCCTTGCAATCACATTTGAGATGTGTTTCCAAATGCAAGGATCTTTAACGATATTGTGGATTTATAGTCAGATTTGCAGTGTTATTCCCTTTAGCTAGGTAGATAGAGCCTCAGATTAATTTAGCAAAAATGCTGAATGTACAGTCGTTTTGACGCCCCTCATATGGGGGTGGGCCCTGTAAAAATGTTGAATTTACAGATTTTTTGACAGTCCCCCCACATGGGGGTGAGCCCTGCATCAAAAATGCTGAATGTACAACCTTTTTGACAACCCCCTCACATGGGGTGATCGCAGGCCCCACCCCAATGTGAGGGGGCTGTTAAAGTGAATGTACACAAAGACTGTACATATATCATAATTCTTTAGAGGGTACAAAAATTATTATTTTAAGAATTTCAAGTACATTAATATGTTTGTTAGTGCTTCCATAAGTTATATCAACAAAATGTATAAATAATAAGTGGATGATAAGTTGTGAATTCTATAAAATTGTAGAAATAAAATACGTTTGATCCGCTTAAAGTATAATTTAAGCGTCATCAAACATGCACTTAATTAGTCCCAATTATACATGGGGATTTAGGAAAAACTTTAGGCGACATGGACCATAACTACACTAAAAAAAGTGCCAGTAACCCTAAAAAATCCCAATACTCGCTATCAATGCTTCGTTAGAAGATGATAATGATTCATGAAATTTCTTCAGTTCATGTTTAAGGTAATTTCTCATCCAGTCGTTCTTCCAATTTAGTAATATAGATGGTAGATGGTAATTACTGCAAAAGTGCTTAGTACTTTAGATGGGGAAGAAAGAGAAATTCGTAATATGCTAAAGTGGTGGAGATTCACTGATTGATGTTCGCTAAGAAGTACAAATTGTAAGTGTACGGGTCACGTTCAAATAATAAAGTGAACATTTTGACTCCAAATTGTCGATCCTCGAGGAATGTATACTTTTGATCACACAACTTTAATTAATTTGATTCCAACAATAAAAAGAAACACACACAATAAAGATTTTAATTTTAGAAAATAACTAAAAATCTACAAAATAATAAAACATAAGAACTTGGAAAATTTTAAAGGAAAACGTGGATGGATTCATGGTTTCACTTAACCGTCGCCTAATGAATTTCTCCACAAACCCATTAATAAATTATTTGTTTACGATATTTGACCCGATTTTTAAATTTTAGTTAATTCCATCTCTCAAGCGAAATTAACTATAATTAATTGGTTTAACATATTACATATCTATGTCGATTAAAATCAAACAATCGCATTAAATATTTGTGAAAATAGCTCAATGGGTCGTCTAGGGTTAATGGTATATCTCTATCCC